AAAAAAAATTAAAATATGTCATAGTAGATGTTTGATTTTAAGCATATAATTTTCTTTTTACCTGTAATTTGTTGAAATGATATCTTCTGAAATATTTAATGTGTGCAGCCCTCGACAGCCCACCAAAACTCATTAACTGGCCTGCCAACTGAAATAATTGCCGACTGCTGCTTTAGAGGGATGATTCCCTATGGAGGACCCATGAGTTTTGAATCTATTGTGCCCTACACATTTATTCCACATCCAGCTTTATGTTCAGTGTTCACACTTGGAAGAAGGGCAATTGCTTATTGAGCCCACACCAACTTTGAAATCTTAAAAATCTGCTGTTGTGTATTATGTGACCATCAAAAAGATTAAACCGAACAATTTTTCTAAAGCACCAAAAAGTATACTTTTTCACGCTTGTCTGCATCTGAACATTTGAAAAAAAAATTGCCATTGAACTAGGCACAATCAGAAGAAATTTTAGACCAATGGGAATATTTCATAACAAAAGGAATTATTTTGTTGAAAGGTATTAATAACTGGGAAGTGTAATTTAGAATGTAGTGTCCAATGGTGCTGCTACCTCAGAGCTGTAATATTCTATATACTCATGAAAGGTAGAGATATGAAAGACCTCCTGTACTGGGCACTGGGCAACCAGGAGCTGGAGAACAAACCTGGAGGAAGGTGATCCAGTGAGATGGTACAGTTCCTTGGGAGGGAGAGGATCCTAGGTTCTAGCCCAGGGGCGAACCAATTCCAGCCTGTGGGCTGGATCTGGCCAGCAGTGAACTCCATTTCCCAGCAGCCCCTGCCCGCATGGCTGGGGCCAATCTCCATGGAGACCCAAGTCACAGCTGTGCTATGATAACACAAGGCTGGGGTTGCCACAGAGACTGGCCCCAGGCATGCTGGCAGGGTGCATAGCAGGGCAGGGAGCTGCTCTGGAGCCCTGGAATCATGTGGCAGGGGCAGCTTGGTTCAGGGCCAGGGCAGAATTCCTATCTGCAGCTTGCATGCTCCAGGCAGGGGTGCACAAGCAGCGGATCATGGCTCTGCCCTGGCTCGAGACCAGGCTGTCACCACTGCAAGGAGTCAGGAAAGAGCCATGATTCGCTGCCTGCAGCTCTGGACCAAACTGCCCCCGCTGCAAGATCCCATTAGCTCTGGAGCAGACCCCTGCCCTGTCCTGCCACATGCCCTGCCAGCACAGCTGGGGCTGGTCCGCATGGTGACCCCAGCCTTGCACTATCACAGTGCAGCTGTGGCTGTGGTCTCAATGGAGACTGGCTCCAGCTGTGTGGGCAGGGGCTGCTGAGAAATGGAGTCTTGCTGCCAGCCAGATCCACTATTTTGCCCACCCCTGTTCTAGCCTGTACCTCTTCTCCCAAAGGAACAGAAACTATGCTGTTTATCCATGTTATTCAATGGCTATCAAATGCAGGCTATAGTGAGTCAGCTGCAAGAGCTGGAGGGTGTTCTGCATCATGCCTAGCCTGTGTCCTGATAATAAGATCACTTTTCTAAGAAAGAGAAGATGAAGATTTGTGTATAAATTCCCTGCAGACCCCCTCACTCCACCCCTGTCTGGGTGAGGGAGGGCCTGGACCCTGGATCTTATACTTCCTGGGAAAGTATTCTGTCTATTAGGCTAAAAGGTGGGATGGTCCTGCTCCTCCTCCTCCTCTTCCTCCTCCTGCTCTTCCTCCTCCTTCATTTTGTTTCTGGTAGATATGTGCACAGGTCAATTTTATCTTGCCACAGGAACAAATAGTTCATAAATGTCATGCACTGCTGTTACACGGCTACCTGAATACCATTTAGATGAATGAAGGGTATAGGGTATGTGTGTGGCTCATAGACTTTTACTTTATTTACTCAAATCCAAGATGACTTTGAATTAAGATTACCCCCTAATAATATAGTGTGATTCTAGACTTAGAAAATTATGAATTTGTTTTAATTTTCCATGTATAGAATATAATTATTGGAAGATCATCTTTAATTTGTTCCCCA